GTGAGCCCACGCTGAGAGCCCACGCTCTGAGTCCACGCTCTGAGCCCACGCTGTGAGTCCACGCTGCGAGCCCACGCTGTGAGCCCACGCTGTGAGTACACGCAGCGAGCGCAGGCTGTGCGAGCGCGCTCATCAGCTCAGCGAGCCCTCGACGCCGCGTGCACTCACAGCGTGCACTCGCAGCGTGCACTCACAGCGTGCGCTCACCGCAGCGTGCACTCGCAGCGTGCACTCACAGCGTGCACTCACCACAGCGTGCACTCACCACGGTGCGCTCACAGCGTGTACTCACCACTGCGTGGGCTCACAGCGTGCACTCACAGCGCGCGCTCACTCACAGCGTGCACTCACAGCGTGCACTCAATCACTCGCGGTTAAGAGCAAAGCTACTCACGGTTAGGATCTACTCTCTCAACCTCTGCCTCTAGGGGGACACGCCCGACCGAAACACGAACCCTGACAGGATCGCGTCGTCAAAACATCAGGGGCCGGTGTTGTTTCGCCGTTTTCGGCCCCGGGGTGCCCTCGCTGGGCCTCGGGAGCGTCGCAAGAAACGACTCAGGACGCAGAGCCGGTCCAGGGGAAAGCAAGCAAGCAAGCAAGCAAGCAAGCAAGCAAGCAAGCAAGCAAGAAGTCATACGCCCGGAGGTGCGCAGGACACAAATGTGGAAAACCTGTGGAAAAACGAGCATCCGCATTATACAGATCATGCTGCACCACAACTGCAAATCTGCCGTGCGCACGAGATGCCGCCAAGAGGCCTCATTCGTCAGAAGTGGGATTGCATTTGCCAAGCCGTTCGCTGCCACAGGGGAAAGGGTCAGGACTTCTGCGGACGCTGTATGGAAAAAGTCAGGACGCCGCATGTCCGGGAAGTTCCCTCTGACCCTGACATCTCGCCGATCTGTTCCTTCCCTCCGCGGCCCCAGAGGTCCTGACAGCCTCCCCGGGGGTATGGTTCTTCGGCCGAGATGTCTGCAGGTTTACTGGTCCTGGGGCCCGCTTGCTAGCTCCAGTGGCCGAAGCCGATAAGGAGAAACGCATGTATGGAACAACACATGTCCTCTTCGGAAACCAGGATGAGGAGAAGGAGGAGCAGGAGGAGGAGGGGGAGCAGGAGGAGGACCAGTTTAAACCCAATGCGCATCAACGATCTTGCAACGAACCCTCCCTCCAAGTTGCCTCTTCGCAGGCCCCTGCAAGGAATCATTCTCACTGCAGGAAGTGCCCCATCTGAAGACAACCGTTTGAAAATCCTGAACAGTGCCAGAACACCGTTCCTGAGATCTCAACGCCGCGAATGACCATTACTGTTGCGTCTTGACGGTCCTGAATCGTGCCAGAACAGCATGTCTGGGACTTCAACCACGAATCAACCGAATTACTGCCCCCTGACACTCCGACATCGGAGCAAAGCAGTCTGAAACTGCTGCAATATCGTAGATCATGCGCGCGGCGCTAAGGCGAGAGCCACATTGTGAAATAGAGCCGCCATCCATCCGCGAAACTGTTCCAATTGTATACAACGATTGTGCACGGCACTAGGGTGCGAGCAACCTGTTGAAAACTACCCGCCCTCCACCCGCGAAGCTCATGCAGACTCTTACGACGAATGCGCACGGTGCTAACTCGAGAGCCACAGATTGAGAACGACCCACGGTCCATCCGTGAAACTGCTGCGAGCTCTCACGACGAAGGGTCGCGGCGCGGAGGCGAGAGCCACGCTCTGAAAACGGCCCGCGCTCCATCCGTGAAGCTGTTGCAAGTTCTCGGCATCGCTCGGACGTGTGCATTTACCCTCCGGCGGGGACAATCGAGGAGCATCCTTGATCATTCGGCGAAAAAGCCGCGCACGAAACCAACAAACATAAACAGGGAATGGACGTCCGAGCGATGGCCAGAGTTTCACGCTGCAGGATCATCAGTGGTGAGGACATCGCAGGCGAAACGCCTGGCCCGCCCGTTCGACCGGCACTGGCGTGCGACGACAGGGAGGAGACATGAACGAGGCAGAGGAACGGTGGAGAGGGTAATGGGGGAACGAAAACACGACATTGCCATGAAAACTCGAGGTCCGCGCGGATCTCTCTCGGATCGGCGCTGGACCCCCCTGCCTGGCGCACGGAGCGCGCCAAGATCGGCGCCGGAGACGCCGCCAGGGGGGTCAGCGCGCATCCGAGAAATCCGCGCGGACCTCCGAGTTTTTATGCTCATGCCATTTTTCGTTCCCCTGGGCAGGTGCGCGCCGCCGAGAGGACAAGCGGAAGAAGGCGACGTACCTGGACGACCTGCACGTGCTCCACCTGCCGACGTGCTCGTGGGCCGCCGTCGCGCCCGACCGCACCGCCGCGCGCCCGTGCAGGCGGGCCGCCTGCCTCCTGTGGACGACGCCCGCGGGCGCCTACGTCTTCGGCGGCGTGCGCCCGAAGAGCAAGGCCGCAGTGAGTCGAAGAAGAAGCAGTCGAGGAGGAGGAGGAGGAGGGGGAGGAGGAGGAGGAGGGGTCACCCAGACATGATCGCGTCGTAAAAGAAAAAAACCCAAAACAGGGCGGGAGGGTATTGGCCGTCTTCGGCCTCGGGGGGCCCTCGCTGGGCCTCGGGAGCGGGTCCAGGGGAAAGGGGCGGGGCTTCCAGGGACACCGTATTGAATAAATCGGGACGCGGTTGCATGAGCATATTCCCAGATCCCAGCCTGCTTCTAATGCCTCCCTGCTTCAATAACCGTGACGACACGACACGAATATGTATACTATGCCGTCCCTCCTTTCTCGCTCCTCCTCCCTCCCCTCCTGCTGCTGCTGCTGCTCCTCCTCCTCCTCCTCCTCCTCCAATCGCGCACGCTGTGCATTATGAGACAGCCGACGTGCAGTCGCTCCCGCAAAGCGGCGAGTTCAGGCTGGCATTGTCTTTTGCCCACGCGCTCCAGCGTATGGCAGTTCGTTCGTTCGTGGGAGGGCCTGAACCCAGCCTGCTTTATCCCCGCCTTCCTACGTCATGCTTTTTTGCCAACTTCGTCCGACCGACGTGTAAACTTTAGGAGCTCCGCATAGCTCCATTCGAGAAGAACAAGAATGAAGGAAGGGAAAACCACCCGGACTGGACAATTGGTGTTTACTAGACGGCCTCGGGCGTTTACTACACAGCCCTGCCCTGTTTGGTTTCTTCTTTGGGCGCGTTTGCTAAACAACTTCGCGTGTCGGGGTGGTTCTTAGGGGGGGGATTTCCTGACCTCTGAAGAAGCGGCATACACACAATCTCTTGGAGGTCCGCGCGGAACTTCCTGCATGGGCGCTGGGCCCTCCAGGCGGCGCCTCTGGCGCCGCCCCCCGGCGCGCTCCGTGCGCCAAGGCGGGGGTCCCAGCGCCGATCCGAGAGAGCCGCGCGCGCCTCCGAGGCGCGATGCTGTGGCCGTGGGTTGTTCCTCAGCCCGTGGCCCACTGTGATCTTTTTTTCATCCCTTGTTTTGCCGATCGGCGCGGGCCCCCCCCTCCCCCCCCACTCCCCCCCCCCGGAGTAGATCTTGGCTGTTTTGGGCGCCTGTCTCGAGCAGGCGGGGTCCCTCCCCCATAGGACGCACGCTTCCAAACAGCCGCATTAAGCAGAGGTCCGGAGCCAGACCCCCCCCTTCCCCCCCCCTTCCGCCCAATGTCGGAACGCCGAACAAAAAACAATCGTATTCCCGAAGCCCGCGGCGGACAGAGAGATCAGCGGATCGGCAAGATGGCCGCCGCGCCTCCAACAGAAAAACAAACTGTCGGAGGCCCGCGCGGTCTTTCGGAATCGGCTGGGGTCCCTTCTGGCCCGCTCCGCGCGCCAACGAGAGGGGGTCCAGCGAAGATCCCAGAAATCCGCGCAGGCTTCCGACAGTTTCTGTTCACGCAGATTTGTTTCCCAAGCAGTGCTTGCACTTCGGGGTTAGTGGTAGTTGTTTTATTCATTCCTTTGCCGATCGGCGCTGGCCCTCGCATCCCCCCCCCCCCATGGAGTGGATCTTGTCTGTTTTTGGAGTCTGCTTCCAAGCAGGTGGAGTCTCCCCCATAATGGATGCATTGTTGCAAATAGTCGCGCTCAGCAGAGGTCCAGAGCCAGACCCCCCCCCCTCCCCCCACCTTCCGCTCAACGTCGAAACGCCAAATAAAAACACGCTTACTTATTACTTGGCTTTCTGAGCGAATGGGTTGGACATGTTGGGCTTTCGCCACTTTGCCGCCCCGTGGGCGCCCCATAGCTTGTACCACATTGCTTACACCACGTAGCTTGCACCACATAGCTCATACCGTGTAGCTTACACGACATAGCCTTAGTTGTTGTTGAAAACCCTCGGCATTTTGTTGTCATAGTTTGCAGCGTTGCCGTCTTGTCAGTCGACAGCGTGGACCTCAAAACTGCTTATAAGACGGGGCCATGCAACTATATGATAAAAAACGCTTCGCGGCGAACACCTGCAAACTACTAACAAGAAAGCGATTGGGCTGTAGCTGAAAACGGCATGCACACGCACCCCTACAGACTGTAAGCAAACGAGTGACGATGTGTGCATATGTGTATGTATATATACATATATATATGTCTAGATGTGAATATGCACACGTAACCGATTGGGTTCTATAAGGGGGCGAAGGCAGCAGCAGGGAGGGGAGACACAAACGCTTTGACAACGTCTTGCAAGCGAGCGACTTCAAACGCTGGCCCGGGTAGGTTCAGAAAGGTTCGCTCCAAAAAGGTTCGCCGGCCCGGGTAAGGGACAAATAGGTTCGCTCCAGAAAGGTATCTCTTCTACACCTATTGCCACCACCAGCTCGCTGCCCACTGCAGCCCGGCCTTTCTTCAATTCTCCCGCCGTCTCCTGCATGTTTGCTATTGCTTGCGAGTAGACGCCCATGCAAGCACAGCGTTGCGAGACAGACTTGAACCTGCAAGCTGTGAGCAACGGCTCCACAAGGACGCTGAAAACAATGAAACAACGATTTATGGCGGACACCTGCACACGAGAAAGCACGGGAGTGGAAAACCATGACACAACAAAGTTTGAGGCGAAAGTTGCAAATTATAGAAAAACGCCCACGGCGAAGCACATAGTTTACATAGCATAGCTTACACCGCATACCTTACTCGACACAGCTTGCACCACCTAGCTTGCGCCACTTGGCTTCCACAGCCCAGCTCCCGCTCCGTAAACTTGCACGACGCAGCTTGCACCGCACAGCTTGCACCGCACAGAGCGTGCACCTCCACGGCTCACACCACGCAGCCCTCGCCCCACGGGCTTCTACTCGACATGGCCTGCACGCACCACACGGCCTGCACCCCCGCACGGCGCCGTGACTCGCCGCCTGGGGCCCTGCTGGCCACAACGCCCCCGACGGAGCCCCCGCGCGCCCTCCGGGGGCCCCGCGGGCCCCGAGGTCCTTCGCCGCCGCTTCGCGCTCCCGCGGGGCCCTCTCAGCAGGAGCGGCCCCGGGCCGCCACGATAAACGACCGGGCTCGTGGAGGCACCCCAGGAGGAGGAGGGGGAGGAGGCGGAGGGGGAGGAGGAGGAGGAGGAGGGGGGGGAGGAGGAGGAGGAGGAGGAGGAGGAGGAGGAGGAGGAGGAGGAGGAGGAGGAGGAGGAGGGGGGAGGAGGAGGGGGAGGAGGAGGAGGAGGAGGAGGGGAGGAGGAGGAGGAGAGGAGGAGGAGGAGGAGGCGGAGGAGTAGGAGGAGGAAGGACCCCCCCTATAGAGGCCCAGGGCCCGCCTCCCTCGGGGCCCGCACGCCCTCCCGCCGCGGGGGAGGGGTCCGGGGAGCACCGGTCGGAGCCGTGGTGTGAGGTCGAGGTCGGTTCGGAGAGGGCACCCTGATGTTCTTCGTGCTTGTCTCAGGTCGGGCCTGTCCCCCTGCAGGGGGATTTTGGACGAAAAATAGAAAAATACTCAAGAGATGCACAACAATACCCAAAACATCGTCCCCATATTATTTTTGACTATTTTTGAATATTTCTCTTGTCAGAGGGACAGGCCGGACTGAATGCTTGTCGGATGTGCCTGCGCATCCTGGGGAGGGTACCCACGAAGGCTCTTCCTTTTGGCCCGCGGAGGGTCTCTCATGCTCTTGAAGTGTGTTCTGCTGTCCTATGGTCCGACTGCATGCCAGCCAGTCACCGTCAGGGAAGCCGCGGGGACTGCCCGGGGAGGTCAACCTTGCACGGGGCTCTCCGCAGACATCCTCCGATATGATTTTGTTCCATCCGTGGCCCCAGAGCTCCCGACCCCTTCCCTGGGGGCAATTTTGCATCCTGGATCCACTTCTGGTGGCCCGAGGGGCCCGATACCGGGCCCTGCAGGCCGACATCAAGGAAAGACGCCGAACCACATCGCCAGAGATCCAGGTCCGCACCGCCCCCATGCCTGCCTGCCCGCCCTGCCTTGGGAGCCAGATGCCGGCTTGGGTGTCTTCGTGTTCCCCTCCTGCCGGCCAGGGCGGCGACGGGCTCACGATCATGGAGGACCTCTGGCACGCGACCGTCGCGCCGAGCGCGCCCTCCGGCTCCGCTCCAGGCCCTGCCGCCTGTGGCGGCCTCACGGCCAGGTGTCGGCGACACGGCAGGGGCACCGTGAGGGGGCAGCATAGGCTTAGGGGAGGGGCGCCTCGCCCCACTGATGGCCGATACGGCGCCCAGGAAGGTGCGGTGGATGGACCGGCGATGTGTCGCCGAGATCCCAGACAGCGATGCTCCCTCCCCTGGGCCAGCTCCCCCCGGCACCGTTGCCCCCCAACACTGACCGGACCTCCCCCCCAGATCTCCCACGGTGTGCTTTCCCAGAACCGGCGGTTTGTCCTCGATCTCGGCCCGCGCGGAGGGGCCTGGGGAAGCGGCCCTGCCCTGAGAGCCGACGCATAGCGGAAAATGACAGCATCGTGCAAAATCACGCCCAGAGCCCTAGACCCAGACCCCCTCGCGTTGTGGAAAAAACACGACGGGAGGTTTTTCACTATTTTCGGCCCCCTGGTGCCCTTGCCAGGCCTCGGGAGTATCAAACAAATGATTCAGGAAGAAAAACCGGTCCCGGGGAAGGGGTCCAGACCTCTGGGGGTCTTTCCGCGTCATTTTTCGAGCTTGATCGATCTGTGAGGGTCCCAGGGCCCGAAAAAAGGCGAGAACGCTCGGCTCGACAAAATTGAGACGCCAGGATTTCCAGGTGGGGCAGCGGATCGGTGAAATCAGATCGGCGGAGGCCAGGGCTCTCGACGCGAACAAGGCCGCGACGGGAGATGATTGACAATTTTTGACCTCTGGGGACCCGGGGATCCGACGTTGCCGAAAAATGACAACATCGCAACAGATCACGACCAGAGCCCCATACCCTATCTTTCTGTGCCATTTTTCCAGCCGGATGGATCCGCGAGGGTCCAGGGCCCGATATGGAGCGAAAACGCTGGTTGCGAAAACGCTGGGATTGGGCCGTCAAAGGTCGGCGAACGGCAACGGGGAGGGGCGACCGACGTCGGGGGGTCGAGGATTTTGGAGCAAATTATTTACGCTTCGCGTATCCCCACCAGCCCATCTCACAGCAGCAACTCTTGCGAAGCATGCCGACAGTCGTGTTTTTCAGGCGTGTGTCCGCTTGGCCCCGCATATCTCCCCTGTTCCTCCTTCCTCCCGCCTCCTTGTACATCCTCCTTGTGGGGGGAGCGGGAGAAGGACGAGGCGGAGGAGGAGGGAGAGAAAGCGCTCCTCGTGATTTGAGTCGTTTGGGGTTTCTCGTCCTGGTGTGAGTCGTTCGGGCCCTTCTTCCTGGTGTGAGTCGTTCGGGCTCTTCGTGGTGTGAGTCGTTCGGGCTCTTCGTCCTGGTGTGAGTCGTTCGGGCTTCTCGTGGTGTGAGTTGTTCGGGCCCCTCATCCTGGTGTGAGTCGTTCGGGCCCCTCCTCCTGGTGTGACTCGTTCGGGCTCCTCGTGGTGTGAGTCGTTCGGGGCCCTCGTCGTGGTGTGAGTCGTTCGGGCTCCTCGTGGTGTGAGTCGTTCGGGCGCCTCGTCCTGGTGTGAGTCGTTCGGGCCCCTCCTTGTGGTGTGAGTCGTTCGGGCTCTTCGTGGTGTGAGTCGTTCGGGCCCCTCGTCCTGGTGTGAGTCGTTCGGGCTCCTCGTGGGGCCTCTTGGGGGCCTCTTGGAGCCTCTTGGGGCCTCTTGGGGGCCTCTTGGGGGCCTCTTGGGGGCCTCTTGGGGCCTCTTGGGGGCCTCTTGGGGGCCTCTTGGGGGCCTCTTGGGCCTCTTGGGGCCTCTTGGGGGCCTCTTGGGGGCCTCTTGGAGGCCTCTTGGGAGCCTCCTGGGGGCCTCTTGGGGCCATCTTGGGGCCTCTTGCGACCTCCGCAGAAGCGCAAAGGAGCGCTGCCCCCTGAGAAGGACAAAATGAGCCCAAAACCTGCGTAAAATCAATGATTTTGCGATGAAGGAAGATGAGCGCGGCCCCCTCAGGACGCCAAAATGCCAAAACCGTAGTAAAATCAACGATTTTGGCTTCCAAGAAGAGCAGAGGGGCCAAACTGTATCCCCCCGACGGGGCCAGAATCCTCGTGAGGGTCGTCGTTTTTTGGCCCTCCCAGGAGTCAAAAAAGACCCCCCTGACTACGCCCCGGACTCCCTGTCCAGGCCCAGGGGGAGGGGGTAGGGGGAGGGGTAAACCCCTCCCCGAAGGGGAAGATGGGGGGTTGAGAACAGAGAGAGCTCTCTAAACCACTCACGCCCAAAGGGCTGGTGGGATTGTGGCCCTCCAGCGGCCCCTCAAAAACGGCCTCTGAAGTGTGTCCGCGGGCGGAAAATCCACCGCCAGAACATGCCCATATCCACTGCCGCGGGGTCGCGGCTTGGCATCTCAAGGAGTGGTGGATATGGATATCTGCGCGCCCGCGTGGGCGGGCAGATCTCCATATCTACTGCTCCCCGAGACCCCAGGGCACGATCCCGCGGCAGTGGATATGGACAGATTCTGGCGGCGCAGAACGGGTGAGCGAAAGGCGCACGTCTCTTCACCTCACTTTCCCGTACATGCGACGTCCTGATCTTTTCAATGCGGGGTCCCTCGAAGTCCCGACCCTTTCCCCAGGACCGGTTTTTCGTCCTGGGTTGTGTTCTGGACGGTCCCGAAGCCTGGCGAGGGCCCCCCGAGGCCGAGAACGGCCCAAGACCGCCTGTCCTGATTGCTTCACTGCGACGCGATCACGTCTGGGTTTAGTGCCCCATCCGACTACGCGACGGTGAACCAAAAGCAGTGGCGCCAGGCAGAGTCGCCTTTGGTGCGCGGCTCTGGGGGGTGCCCAGGGGTGGGGGGGGGGGCGCCGAGCCCGAGCACCGGGGCCGCCGCTGCCGCATGCCCCGCAGCGGTCGACGGACCGCGCACCAGAGGCCAGTCTCGCCGACCACCGAACTGTTCTTTTAATCCGCGGCGCCATGAGGTCCCGACCGCTTCCCACTCTTAGTTTGGGATGGGACGGGTTTTTCGCCTTCCGCCGTTTCCTGGACGGCCCCGAGGCCCGGCGAGGGCTCCCAGGGGCCCAGCACGGCCAAAGACCGCCCGTCCTAATTTTTGGGCAGCGCAGTCCAAGAAGACCCCCGACGTCATGATTTTTTCGCAACGGTCTCGACCCATTCCCCTGGACCGCTTTCTCATCCCGAGTCGTTTTGTGACTAAGGGCCCCTGGAGGCCGAAAATAGCGAAAAACCTCGCGCCACGATTTTTGTCGTTGCCCGGACCAGATACGCGACGTCCTGATTTCTTGAATACGGCGTCCTTGGAAGTCCCGACCCTTTTTCCCCGGGACCGGCTTTTCGTCCTGAGCCGTTTTTCGACGGTCCCGAGGCCCGGCGAGGGCCCCCGGAGGCCGAAAACTTGCAAAAACCTCCCGCCCCGACTTTTTCTTTCACGACGCGATCCTGTCTGGAGCCAGGGCCCCGCAACGCTTCCAGGGCCCTGCCTGGGCTCGCCTGGCGCCGCTGCAGGTGGCGGCAGCTGCCCGTGCAGGGCCAGGGCCCCGGCCGGCGCAGCGGCCTCTGCCAGTGCCAGGTCTCCGCGGCGCGGCCGCTGCAGCGGCTCGTCTTCGGCGGCGTGGCCGACGTGCACGTGTCGGGATCCCGCCAGAGGGGGTTGTGTGCCCCGTGTGTGTGTGTGTGTGTGTGTGTGTGTGTGTGAGGTCGATCCCCAGACAGGATCGCGTCGTGAACAAAAAAGCAGGGCGGGAGGTGTTCGCCTGTTTTCGGCCTCGGGGGGCCCTCGCCAGGCCTCGGGGCCGTCGAAAAACGACTCGGGACGAAAAGCCGGTCCCGGGGAAAGGGTCGGGACTTCCGGGGACCCCGCATGGGAAAAATCCGGATGTCGCATGTCTGCGGGTGTGTGTGTGTGTGCCCCGCGGAACGTGTGAGTTCGATCGGTTTTTGCACCCAACGGCCCGAAACAGCTGCCCCCGAGCCGCCAGCAGCTCCCGATCGTTGCCGATGGGTGGGGCATACGGGGGGCATCTGTGCGCGGCAGTTCGGTGCACCAGCGGATCGAGCTCATGCCCCCCATCAGGGTCACCCCCCTTTGGTGGATCCCGAACGTGGCGGACCCTGGCGGCGCCGGGGCGAGGGGCAGGAAGAGCAAGGTACCCAGACCCCCTCGGGCCATGAACAAATCATGCCGGGAGGTGTTTCGCTAACCACGACGTCGGTTATTTTCCGCCTCCAGGGGCCCCTACTGGGCATCGGGAGCGTCAAAAAACGACTCAGGACGAAAAACCGGTCCAGGGGAAGGGGTCGAGACCTTTGGAGGTCGACGTTACGAAATAATGAGGACGTTGGGGGTCTGTGTCTAGGCCTCCCAGATGGGGTTCGAGAAAATAACCATGAGATCCTGGCGATGCAATTATTGCTTTGGTACTATACGAGCGCTCTCGCTCGATGTCGGGCCCTGGGACCCTTACAGATCGATCCGGCTCGACAAATGACGCAGGAATATGGGGTCTGGGGCTCTGGTCGTGATTTCTTGTGATGCTGCATTCTTTTTTGCAGCGTCAGATCTCAGGGAAGATCGGAGGATGATCGCGATGCATCGCCGATGCATCGTCGGTGCATCCGCGACGTTCGCGATGCATCGGCGACGTCGGCGTGGAGAGAGTCGGGCTCCACATCGAGCCCCGATGCATCAGCGATGCGGCGCGATCCTCCGAGCCCATCTGCTCGGACCCCATCTGGGAGGCCTCTGCAAAGGGCGCCGAGGTGTCCATCTTCCACCAGGACCTCTCCCTCGGCCCGCCTTCCGCGCGGCAGGTGCCGCGCTGCTGCAGCCGCCGCCGCGGCCGCCGCGACGGCCACCGTCGAGGCCGCACCAGCGGCCGCGGCGGCCGTCGCGGCCGCATCGCGGCGGCACCTTCCGCGCGGATGGTGACCGCATCGCGGTCCACCTTCCGGCGGCCGTCGCGGCCGTCGCGGCCGCATCGCGGCCGCATCGCGGCGGCACCTTCCGCATCGCGGCCGCACCTTCCGTCGCGGCCCCATCGCGGCAGGCCGAGGGTTCCC